GAGAGGGAGAGAGAGGAGAGGGAGAGAGAGAGGGGAGGAGAGGGAGAGAGCGAGGGAGGAGAAGAAAGGGAGGAGAGAGAGGAGATGATGTCAGTAAATCATCCTTGGAGGTGAAACAGGAAATAAGAAACAGGAAACAGGAAGCTTGGTCTCACCTGGAACAGTCTGAGAGCTCTGACCAGACAGCCCACCTCGTTCTTCAGAGAAAACACCACCGCCGTCTTCCCAGAATCCTCAGCGCTCTCTTTGTCCGGCGTCTCGCTGATGGGACAGAAGGACGGACGCCTCGACTGGACAACAGCAACAACAACAACAACAACAGGAAACCACAGCGTGTAAACAGAAACCCACTTCCTGTCGCGGTCACATGACTCCGTTAATTAAACACAGAGGAAACCGCTTCAAAACACATCAGCAACAAAAGAAAAGAGCAGAGCGAGTTTTACTCCAGCTTCACTGTTTGTTCCTGAAAATCCCTTTGAGATGTAAAATAAATTATTGTCTCGTTCTTTCTTTATATTTGTGAGGAAACGTTAAACCACAAACTAAACACCCTCCTCAGAGACACAGTAACTAAGTACTTCTACCCAAGTACTCTGCTTTAGGACAGATTTGAAGTACTTGTACTTTACCTGAGTACTTACTCCTTCTGCTGTGTCTCAGAGGGAGATGTTGTACTTTTTACTACATTTATCTGGCAGCTTTACACATGAAGAGTTTATAAAATCTGATGTTTGGTTATAAAACGGCTGACAGGATTGTTAGTGTCGATTATTTCGATGGTTTAAAACATTTCACGGTTCATAAATGTGAAGATCTGCCGCTTTTCCCTTTGAATTATTTTAATAATTTGGTTGTTTGTTAATAGCGTTGAAGTTTGGACTGTTCGAACAATCCATCGATCAACAGAGAGAAAATAAGCAGCAGATCAATTCAATCAGTGTTGCACGATGAGGAATAATAATAATAATCTCATGGTAACATGGGGTGATGGTTTGTAAGTTAGATGTTAACTCTGGACAGCCCCGTCCTCCAACCAGCAGCTTCACTATCAGAAAGTCTGAGGTTATAAACTCACATATGCTCACATTTACAGCTAACTAGCTGGCATGCACATATTTTACCTCAGACTTTCTGCTATTGAAGTTCCAGCAACCTGCCTATTTAAAAATCTGAGAAATAAATGATAGGAAATCTAATAACATCAGGCAGGTTTATTTCTACAACACAGATCTATAATCCTCTTGGTTTAACCAGCTAGCTGTAGTTTATTTTATCTGTAATTTGCACATATTAAAGTGATTTCACAACATGGGGGGGGGGGGGGGGGGGGGCATCTTAAAATGCCTTTTTCCTATAAAATACATTTGATTTGAATTAAATAAATTTGTCAACTGTAGGTAGCTCGGGGAGGGGGGGGGGGGGGGGTCTTACCCCACACTACCCAATAATATCTACTAGATTTTACTGCAGTATGTACTTTTACTTTTACCATTGTAAGCACATTTTCCTGATTATCCTCATATATTTGTACTTTAGTAACATTTTCAATGCAGTACTTTTACATGTAACGGAGTATTTTTACATTTTCTGACTGTGAGGAGCTGCTTCAGCTAATAAAGACCAACACGGAGCTGATGTGTTGATAAGCCTCCGCGTCACAGCTGCTCTTATCTCCCGCTGACGCCGTTAAATTTCCTCTTTACTGACGATCAAACAAAACATTAACGCGCTTCCTCTTTTCCTGCAGACGCCTGTCAGCTGCTGCTGTCACACGAAACAGGCGACCACGAGGGAACAAACATTTACTCGCTATTTAAAAGCAGTTCGTACTTATTTATTAGTTATCAGATGCTAGAACTTATCTTTAAGTCACCAGTAACTTATGGCACATTTTCCCCATTGAACTCTGGGGGGGGGATAAATGTTGTTAGTAATATTTTTTAGAAGTTTATTTTAATTCTTACTAGTAGGGGAGACCGGGGGCAACAGTAACACACTCAATTTCTCCAAACAGAAACAAGTTAGAGTGACGACACTTAATCTGCTCATGCTCAACATTATTCTCTCTCTGCCTGTGGAACAGCAGCATCATTTCACCTCAGCAGAAGTTTTACTGATTTTAAAGTATGAAAGGAACTTTTTGGATGTTCAGTGTTTTTCTTCTGGTGTCTAAAGTTTAGATGACTACACATTTAAACTGACATACATTTTATCATTTTTAGGTTATTAATTAACATTTAACACTAACAAACTATGCTAATATAGTTGTGGCTAGCGGGCACATATATATGTATGTATGTGTGTATATATACACACATACATATATATATATACATACAAATAACATAAAATACTACTACTAATAATAAAGTATTTCAAATTTAGTAAACAAGTAAATGTACTTTGTTACTTTCCACCGCTAAAACTCAAAAAGACTATGAGAGAATCTCAAATCTCTAAACCGATCTGAAGACATCAAGGAGAGGAGGAGCAGAGGAGGAGGAGAGGAGGAGGGAAGGAGGAGAGGAGAGGAGAAAGAGAGGAGAAAATGACAATGAGTAGGAGGAGGAGGAGAGGAGAAGAGGAGAAGGAGGAGGAGGAGGAGGAAGAGAGGAGAAGATGACAATGAGTAGGAGGAGGAGGAGAGGAGAAGAGCAGAAGGAGGAGGAGGAAGAGAGGAGAAGATGACAATGAGTAGGAGGAGGAGGAGGAGGAGGAGGAGAGGAGAAGAGGAGAAGGAGGAGGAGGAGGAGAGGAGAAGAGGAGAAGGAGGAGGAGGAGGAGGAGGAAGAGAGGAGAAGATGACAATGAGTAGGAGGAGGAGGAGAGGAGAAGGAGGAGGAGGAGGAGGAGGAGGAGAGGAGAAGAGGAGAAGGAGGAGGAGGAGGAGGAAGAGAGGAGAAGATGACAATAAGTAGGAGAAGGAGGAGAGGAGAAGAGGAGGAGGAGGAGGAGGAGAGGAGAAGATGACAATGAGTAGGAGGAGGAGGAGAGGAGAAGATGACAATGAGTAGGAGGAGGAGGAGAGGAGAAGAGGAGGAGGAGGAGGAGGAGGAGGAGGAGAGGAGAAGATGACAATGAGTAGGAGGAGGAGGAGAGGAGAAGAGGAGAAGGAGGAGGAGGAGGAGGAGAGGAGAAGAGGAGGAGGAGGAGGAGGAGGAGGAGGAGGAGAGGAGAAGAGGAGAAGGAGGAGGAGGAGGAGGAGGAGGAGGAAGAGAGGAGAAGAGGAGGAGGAGGAGGAGGAGAGGAGAAGATGACAATGAGTAGGAGGAGGAGGAGAGGAGAAGATGACAATGAGTAGGAGGAGGAGGAGAGGAGAAGAGGAGGAGGAGGAGGAGGAGAGGAGAAGATGACAATGAGTAGGAGGAGGAGGGGAGGAAAAGAGGAGAAGGAGGAGGAGGAGGAGGAGGAGAGGAGAAGATGACAATGAGTAGGAGGAGGAGGAGAGGAGAAGAGGAGGAGGAGGAGGAGGAGGAGGAGGAGGAGGAGAGGAGAAGAGGAGGAGGAGGAGGAGGAGGAGGAGGAAGAGAGGAGAAGATGACAATGAGTAGGAGGAGAAAGAGAAGAGAAGAGGAGGAGGAGGAGGAGGAGGAGGAGGAGAGGAGAAGAGGAGAAGGAGGAGGAGGAGGAGGAAGAGAGGAGAAGATGACAATAAGTAGGAGAAGGAGGAGAGGAGAAGAGGAGGAGGAGGAGGAGGAGAGGAGAAGATGACAATGAGTAGGAGGAGGAGGAGAGGAGAAGAGGAGGAGGAGGAGGAGGAGAGGAGAAGATGACAATGAGTAGGAGGAGGAGGAGAGGAGAAGAGGAGAAGGAGGAGGAGGAGAGGAGAAGATGACAATGAGTAGGAGGAGGAGGAGAGGAGAAGATGACAATGAGTAGGAGGAGGAGGAGAGGAGAAGAGGAGGAGGAGGAGGAGGAGGAGGAGGAGGAGGAGGAGGAAGAGAGGAGAAGATGACAATAAGTAGGAGAAGGAGGAGAGGAGAAGAGGAGGAGGAGGAGGAGAGGAGAAGGAGGAGGAGAAAGAGAAGAGAAGAGGAGAGGAAGAGTGATAGAGGATGAAGATGAGAGGTGAAGAAAAGAAGGAGAGGAGATGAGGAGCCCTCACCATCTGCCCCCCGGTGTGGCGCTGCTGCTGGTGGTCAAACATGGCCGAGTCCAGAGACAGCCCCCTCCTGGACCAATACTTGCTGGAGAACATCATCATGGCGGGCTGCATCCTGGGAACTGGCTCCGGGCCGTCCTTCAGCACGTGGGACGAGGCCATGGGGAACCAGTGTGTGTAGGAGTACCAGGGCTCCAGCCTGCCGTGCTCTGCTGCTCCTCGCTCTGAGACGCTCACACTGACTCTGTCGGCCCCACGCCGGCCCCTCACCGGCCCCGTCACATAAATACTGACAGGGAGGAGGAGGAGGGAGAGGGGAGGCTCCTCCCCCTCTGAACAGACCTCTGATGCTGCTTCATTCAGCTTTTACTGAAGCTGCTTCTTGGATTTGATCTGACAAACAGCAGAACCCTCCGGACCCAAACATTACAAACAAACAGCAGCGAAATGCTAACATGCTAATGTTCACCATCTTAGTTTAGTCAACTTCTAACACACCTGGAACTCAGAGCTGCAACGTCCAATATCTCAAAACGTTTACTAATTATTAACTACAAACACCTGCACAGTTTCACGAGCCTTTAATCTCTGGATCTGGTTCTGCTGCTCACTCTTAACATTTCCACTGTTTTCTTATTTTTTTAGATGCACCTGTAGGTTTTATCTGTTGGTCGAACACAAGAAGACTCTGCCCCCGCATCAGCTCAGATCTCAGCGTTTAACTTTCATTATTAAATACATATTTAAAAAAGGCACACATTATTTATTTATGGATGCATTTATTGTAGATTCTGTAATAAAGCAATTTTCTTGAAATTCATGTTTATATTATATCATATTAACACATTCATATTATTTTTTATGAACCAGAACTGGGTCTGTTGCCCAGCAGATTTTCACATATATGCTTTGGTATTTTGGTGCCTAACAATAAACATAGTAAGAGAATATGATTCTGAAAGTGTAAAGTTTGTGTTCAGACTGGAAGAGCTGTGCAGTCTGTGCATGTGTAAAGAAATGTACAAAGTCCCTGAGATGATGGAGCGACACGTTGAGTCTCTGAGTGAAAGAAGATGTGATGTTAAAGCTGACGTTTCAGTCAGACGTCAGAAGCTAATGGTTAAAGCAGAGTGTTCTCAGGCTCAGCGAGTTACTAACAACTGCAGATCAGATGTTCCACCAGCTGAATGAGAACAGATATTTTTTCCATCAGTTCATCCAGAACCTGAAGCTTTACTCACGATTAATAATGGGTGTCTTTTATCCTTCAGATGCAGGTGAACTGCGAGTCCTGATCTGAGGAGTCGGCTCTTCTGAGTTGAGTCGTGTGTTTGTGTAGAGGATGTTTAGTTCACCGATAAATATCTGTAAATCTGTAACATTCTGCTCTTTGGGCTGTTTGGTTCTATTAAAAACATAAATCTAAAGTTAGAGAATGTTGATTTTATTTGACTCGTGATTTTGTACACATTCCACAAATATACACTATATTGACAAAAATTCAGGTGTTCCAATCACTTCCATGGTCACAGGTGTATGAAAACGTGCACCTAGGCTGCAGACTGCATCTACTAACATTTGTGAAAGAATGGCTTGTTCTCTGCGTCTCTAGTTAGTTGTAATTCAGTGTTCTGCAGCTGAACAGGTTAGTGTTTCCTCTCTGAGTCTCTAGTTAGTTGTAATGCAGTGTTCTGCAGCTCAACAGGTTAGAGTTCCTCTCTGAGTCTCTAGTTAGTTGTAATGCAGTGTTCTGCAGCTGAACAGCTTAGTGTTTCCTCTCTGCATCTCTAGTTAGTTGTAATGCAGTGTTCTGCAGCTGAACAGGTTAGCGTTTCCTCTCTGAGTCTCTAGTTAGTTGTAATTCAGTGTTCTGCAGCTGAACAGCTTAGTGTTCCTCTCTGAGTCTCTAGTTAGTTGTAATGCAGTGTTCTGCAGCTGAACAGCTTAGTGTTCCTCTCTGAGTCTCTAGTTAGTTGTAATGCAGTGTTCTGCAGCTGAACAGCTTAGTGTTTCCTCTCTGCATCTCTAGTTAGTTGTAATGCAGTGTTCTGCAGCTGAACAGGTTAGCGTTTCCTCTCTGAGTCTCTAGTTAGTTGTAATTCAGTGTTCTGCAGCTGAACAGCTTAGTGTTTCCTCTCTGAGTCTCTAGTTAGTTGTAATGCAGTGTTCTGCAGCTGAACAGGTTAGCGTTTCCTCTCTGAGTCTCTAGTTAGTTGTAATTCAGTGTTCTGCAGCTGAACAGGTTAGTGTTTCCTCTCTGAGTCTCTAGTTAGTTGTAATGCAGTGTTCTGCAGCTGAACAGGTTAGTGTTCCTCTCTGAGTCTCTAGTTAATTTTAATGCAGTGTTCTGCAGCTGAACAGGTTAGTGTTTCCTCTCTGAGTCTCTAGTTAATTTTAATGCAGTGTTCTGCAGCTGAACAGGTTAGTGTTTCCTCTCTGCGTCTCTAGTTAGTTGTAATGCAGTGTTCTGCAGCTGAACAGGTTAGTGTTTCCTCTCTGAGTCTCTAGTTAGTTGTAATGCAGTGTTCTGCAGCTGAACAGGTTAGTGTTCCTCTCTGAGTCTCTAGTTAATTTTAATGCAGTGTTCTGCAGCTGAACAGGTTAGCGTTTCCTCTCTGAGTCTCTAGTTAGTTGTAATGCAGTGTTCTGCAGCTGAACAGGTTAGTGTTTCCTCTCTGAGTCTCTAGTTAGTTGTAATGCAGTGTTCTGCAGCTGAACAGGTTAGTGTTTCCTCTCTGAGTCTCTAGTTAATTTTAATGCAGTGTTCTGCAGCTGAACAGGTTAGTGTTTCCTCTCTGAGTCTCTAGTTAGTTGTAATGCAGTGTTCTGCAGCTGAACAGGTTAGTGTTCCTCTCTGAGTCTCTAGTTAATTTTAATGCAGTGTTCTGCAGCTGAACAGGTTAGTGTTTCCTCTCTGAGTCTCTAGTTAGTTGTAATGCAGTGTTCTGCAGCTGAACAGGTTAGTATTTCCTCTCTGCGTCTCTAGTTAGTTGTAATGCAGTGTTCTGCAGCTGAACAGGTTAGTGTTTCCTCTCTGAGTCTCTAGTTAGTTGTAATGCAGTGTTCTGCAGCTGAACAGGTTAGTGTTCCTCTCTGAGTCTCTAGTTAATTTTAATGCAGTGTTCTGCAGCTGAACAGGTTAGTGTTTCCTCTCTGCATCTCTAGTTAGTTGTAATGCAGTGTTCTGCAGCTGAACAGGTTAGTATTTCCTCTCTGCGTCTCTAGTTAGTTGTAATGCAGTGTTCTGCAGCTGAACAGGTTAGTATTTCCTCTCTGCGTCTCTAGTTAGTTGTAATGCAGTGCTCTGCAGCTGAACAGGTTAGCGTTTCCTCTCTGAGTCTCTAGTTAGTTGTAATGCAGTGTTCTGCAGCTGAACGGGTTAGTGTTCCTCTCCGAGTCTCTAGTTAGTTGTAATGCAGTGTTTTGCAGCTGAACAGGTTAGTGTTTCGCTGTTGTAATGTAGTGTCTTGCAGGCGGACGGCTGCTGTGTTTGTGTTGTTCGGTCTCCACCTCGCTTCACTGAGCTCAGTGTGAGCAGCAGCTGAGTGAATGACAGTCAGGCATCAGGCCACACAAAGCGGCCTCCACTTCAATAAAACCCCAGAGATGAATGCTGGATAAGTCACGGTCGGCAGCGGCGTGCTATCAGCCGTGTGCTGAGACAATTTCCTGCAGCACAGGAAATGAAAGAGAGGTGAGATGGCAGCAGAAGCTCCGGCTGCTTTGTTCTGAATCTGAAGCGGCTTTATGAGCAGATTGCAGGTGATACCTGCCTCCGTCTCCTCCACCTTTAACAACAAACACCTCCCATCAGAGGAGGGGGGGAGGGGGAGGAGACTTGTCCTGACGTCCATCACACATGAAAGCAGCTCAAGTGACATTTGGAGGCGAGCACCATGAGGAGGAAAGAGGAGCGTCGCCTCTTCAGCTGCAGCTCTGACATTTCTGTAGATTCACGAGGACGAATCAGAACGTTAGATGTTAATAAATCCTTCAGGTCTGAAGTTCACACGCTGAGCTCGTCTTTGTTCATATATTAGAATATTAATGAGGGGTTTGTCTTCACACACTCTGTCTTTCAGTCTGGCTCCATCAACAGGGGCTTTCAAAAGAGACTATCACCATGACAACAGTAATTAGGGTTCATTACAGCATCAGGAGGAATTTCATGCCTGGTTCTGTTACCTGATCTCACGGCTCTGGTTCTGGTGCTCATTCCAGCACCACTCCCCACCGGGTCCCTCGCCCCAGGCCTGAAAGACCTCCTGTTCAAGTGGTGTAAACAAACACTCCCCCGGTCCTCCGAGCTCCCAGTGCAGTTATCAGGGAGCTAACAGAGCTGGAGTCAGCAGTAAATGATTCTGGCTCTCTGTTACTTTCCAGCTCCCCAATGGAGGTTGAGGATTTTTTCTGCAACTAACTACTGAAACAATTATCGACTCATCGGTTAAGTCAACTAAATGCTCAAACTAAAGCTTTAAAATGAAGAACAAAATGTTTTTTAATCATTGGACATGTCAACAAACCTTATTGGACTGGAACTTTGCATTTTCTAACAATGACTATGGGAGCTTCTGGGAATTTCTTAAACATTAAATTAGGAAATGTACAATTCAAAGAGTTCAATAAAATGTATTTTAGACATCAAAAAGATGTTAGGTGATAACATGTATTTTCCATTTATTGCATGAACACCATGTCTACATTTAGTAGGCTAAAGAATTTCCTCTTTCAGAAAGCTTCTAAACTTAGCGAAAAAATAAACCTCCATTTTACAGGACACTGTTTTTCAAAGATAATAATGTAAAGATCCAAATAACTTTACAGACCTTTACTGTAAAGGTTGTAAACAATGTTTTCATGCTTGTTCAATGAACCAAAAACAATCAGTGACCATGCACCTGTGGAACAGTCGTTAAGACACTTACAGCCAAATAAGGTCACAGTAATAAAAACTAAACACTAAAGAGACCTCTGTACTGAATGAAAAACACTAAAAGAAAATGCGCAGGGTTCCTGCGAGGCATGAGGACTGCAGATGTGGCCATGACAGTAAAATGCAATGACCGTGCTGTGAGACGCTTTGAGACAGCGCTACAGGGAGACAGGAAAGACAGCTGATTGTCCTTGCAGTGGCAGATCATGTGACAACACCTGCACAAACCCACAACAATGTACATGTAAACTGCCTGAGATACGCCAGGAGTCGACAATCCCTCCATCAGCGCTCAG